GCTTAACAAAAAACACAATCTCAGATTTAAAATTAACAACTGATCCAGCATCAACTGCTGTTTGTGGAAGAGAGTTCCAAACCTCTATCACCCTTTGTGCTTCCTAACACCTCTCCTGAACGGTCTGGACCTAATTCTCAGACTATGCCCTCTATTTCTAAAATCCTCAAACAGTGGAAATAGTTTATCTACCCTATATTTTCTTGTTAACATCTTGAAGACTTTAACCAGGTCATCCTTTAATCTTCTAAATTCTTGAGAAAACAGGCCTAATTTGTATAATCTCTCCACATAACTCCCGATGTCTAGGTATTATTCTTGTAAAGCTACATTCCACTCCGTCCAAGGTCAACATATCCTTTCTAAGGTGTGGCGCCCAGATCTGCTCAGAGTACTGCAAGTAGGGTCTAACCAGGGTTTTGTATAACTGCAACATAACTTTTGCATCCTAGTACTATTGTCTTAAATCTCTGCCCTTGTTCCTCAACCGTCTTTGCTGCTAAACTCCTGTCTCAGTCCACTCCCATGAACTCTGTCCTCATTCCTTTGTAGTTACCCTTATTTAAGTTTAGCACAGTTGCTTCCAATCCAAGTTTCTCACTCTCAAACTGAATGCTAAATTCTACCCTGGTATGCTCACTGTTTCCAATAGAGTCTTTTACACTGCAATCATTCATTAAAACTCTCTCATTAATAAATCCAGACCCAAAACAGCCTGATCTCTGGTTGGATCCATAACATATTGTTCAGTCCCAAATACACTCCATGAATTCTTCCGCATGGCTACCTCCACCAACCTGTCTTTCCTAACCTCCATGAAGATTAAAGCATTCATGATTAAAGTACTGCATTTGTTACATGCCCTCATTATCTCCTGATTTATTACTTGTCCCACTCTATTGTTAGGGACCTTATAGACTATTTCTACCGATGTCTCCTTCTCTGCATTATTTCTTATCTTCACCCGTATCGATTCTACATTTCTGATCCAAGATCACTTCTTGGCATCATAATTATTCTACCCTTGTATTAACAAAGCAACTCCACCATTCTTTACTTCCTGTCTGTCCTTTTGAAAGTCACACACCCCTCAATGTTTAGTTCCCAGTTTTGATCTCATTGCAACCATGTCTTTGTAATAGCTATAAAATCATACCCATTAATCTGTATGTGCCATTAATTCATTCATTTTGTTCTGAATATGTGCATTCAAGTAAAGAACCATTAGTTCTACCTTTTTTCCACTTTCCCCCCTTAACCATATCTGTTGTTGTTTCTCTATGTTTACAAACTCAGTCCCTTTCTGTTCAAATCAGTACCGATATTTAAATAGCTGCCCTATCCTCTTCCTTTGCAGCCCTATATTTCACTTCTCCCAATGCCTCCCCCAGTCCTGAATTAGTTTAAAGCCGTCCCCAGGACCCTAGTTATTCAGTTCACCAGGACACTGGTCCCAGCACAGTTTACTAAAAGCCGTCCCACCAGAACAGCTCTCCTCGACCTCAATAGTGATGCCAGTGCCCCGATGAACTGAAACCTACACCAATTCTTGTGCCATGCATTTAACTCCTTGCCTTTATTTACTCTATTCCAGTTTGCTTGCAGCTGAAGTAGTAATCCTTAAATTATTACCTTGGAGGTTCTGCTTTTCAATTTAGCTCTGAACTGTTCAAATTCTTCCAGCATAACCTCCTCTCTATCCTATCAATGTTATTGGTACCAACATGGATGGTGTCTACAGGATCCCTCCCCTCTCACTCTCACATGCCAAGTTCTTCTCTAGTCGTGAGGTGATTCCTTAACCCTGGCTCTGGGCAGGTAAGTCAGCTACACAGATTAGTATCTAAGCCCTGATTATACTTTTACTTCAAAGATGAGAGATGTTCACCAATCCTACGCACCGGTCAGCTCTGCACTCACATCACGCTATGGTTTGTGACGTCTCTCAGTTGTTGATCTCACTGCAGGTCAGCTTCTCCATCTATGTCTTTTATCTACTCCATTCACCCCTCACTCTGAAGAGTTTACTTAGAGTTATAGAGATATACAGCAGGGAAACAGACCCTTTGGTCCAACTCGTCCATGCCAAGCAGATATCCTAAACAAATCTAGACCCATTTGCCAACATTTGGCCCATATCCCCCAAACCCTTTCTGTTCATTTACCCATCCAGATGGTTCCACCACCTCCACTGGCAGCTCATTCCATACATGCACCACCCTCTGCTTGAAAAGGTTGCCCCTTAGCTCCCTATCCCTCTCACCTGAAACCTATGCCCTCTAGTTTTGGACTCCCCTACCTTGGGAAAAGACCTTGACTATTCAGCCTATCCATGCCCCTCATGATTTTATAAACCTCTATAAGGTCAACCCTCAGCCTCCAACGCTCCAGGGAAAATAGCCCCACCTTGTTCAGCCTCTCCCTATAGCTCAAACCCTCCAACCTTGGCAACATCCTCATAAATCTTTTCTGAACCCTTTCAAGTTTCACAACATCCTTCCTATAGCAGGGAGACCAGAACTGAACACAGTATTCCAAAAGTGGCCAAACCAATGTCCTGTACATGATCTCCCAACTCCTATACTCAATGCACTGACCAATAAAGGCAAGCATACCAAATGCCTTCTTCACTGTCCTATCTACTTGTGACTCCACTTTTAAGGAACTATGAACCTGCATCCCAAGGTCTCTTTTTTCTACTTCTTGCTAATTAAATCACTCTGTTATCCCTTTGCATTCATTTCCTACATGAACCACATTTCCAGCACCTCACTCATATAGCCTTCATTTCACTTCACTTAAGTCTCCTTCACACCCCTGCCTGGCCATCAGGGTGATATTACACTAACTAAGTTGTTCAAATTCTTGGCCCCTGGTGATGTTAACAATACTACAGGAAAATAATGAAACATCTTTTGTGATAACAAGGTGTAGAGCTGGATGAACACAGCAGGCCAGGCAGCATCAGAGGAACAGGAAAGCTGACGTTTCAGGTCTGGACCCTTCTTCAGAAAAATGAAATCAGCTTTCCTGCTCCTCTGATGCTGCCTGGCCTACTGTGTTTGTCCAGCTCTACACCGTGTTATCTCAGATTCTCCAGCATCAGCAGTTCCTACTATCCCCAAACATCTTTGGTGGTTTTGTGCTGCAGGGGTCTCCTCACTGGTGAATGCACTGACAGTGCCCAAGCTCATTTCACCTTAGACAAGCAGAAACAGGATGATCTCAACTACATTGAGACTGATGAAAAAGGGAGGTGGAATACAAAGATCTGGAAGACTCCTCTAATACTGAAGCAGTTTGTGACCACAGGCTGCAAGACCTGGCCAACATGCAGCTTTAGGCTGATACACTGTGATGACTGTCTCCAGCTCTCAGAATCTACCCATCTCCCACTGATGACCTTACCATGGCTGGGTTTCCCACCATCAACTTTTTGGGGTTACCACTGGTCAGATGCTGAGCTGGACCACCTATATTGTGGTTACAAGAGAAAATTAGAGACGAGGAATTCTGTGGCAAGTAACTCAGCTCTTGACTCCCCAAATGCCAGTCCACTATCCACAAGGCACAAGTCAGGATTATGGTGCCAATACTTTACACCAGCCTGGATGAGTTCAGCTTCAACAAGACAAAAGCTACTGCAGTCTGACACCGTTTCTCTCTACCATGGCAGAAAGTTGCATTGCTCACCACCACCATTCAAAGGCAACTACAAATAAACCCGCAGCACACATAACCTAAGAACAAATATAAAGGAAACTGGGCTAGAGGGACATAAATCTTTAGTTCAACCTCATTTAGAACAATACATTCAGTTCTAGGCACCTCATCTCAGGATGGACTGTTACTTTCACAAAAAATATCTTTGGAGCTCCATTAGTTATCTTAGGAAGATGGATTCAATGAATAGGCCTCTGTATATCCCAATTGTACAAGATTAAAGGATTACCTAATTGATGAGTTTAAGATGATTAAACAATTTGAAAAGTCGAGCAAAACTATTTCCTGTAGCAGATGAGCCCACAGCTAGGAGACATAACCTTACATATTAGATATATGTTATCGTGAAGTGGTGTCAGGATGCTTTTATTGCATGAAGAATAGCGGAATTTTTACATTTTTCCCTCTGAAAGCTGTGAATGCAGAGGCAAATTGAAAACTGCTAAAATGAGTTTCAAACAGCTGTATGGTAGCACAAAACATGAGTACAGCCAAAAAAAGGCACATTTTTTGTTGAAGCTTTTCATCTTGCGAAATTTGCAAAAAATACTAAAGTAAAGAAAAACAATATATCTACAAGATGAGAGAAGAGTGCAGATTGGTTGGCAAGTGAACCCCTGATTGGTACAAGCACTGTCATGGAGAATACACCAGTGAATGATGTTTGACAGTGAGCAGCTAAGCTTTATTTAAATCTTAAACCAAGTGGGTTGGCTCTGAATGGTCAAGATGTTGCCATGAGAATCGAACCAAAGAATAGTTGTCACCTTTTGTTTTAATTGAAATGGGTACACTGTGTACATGTTCCTTTTCTTTGTTAAGAACAAGACCCTGTGTAGCTTTCAGTCTACTCAAGTACGCCACATTGAGAGCCTGGCTAAATGTGCTAAATTGATCATTAGCCTAATTCTTTGTACATTCAGGGTTATTTAACAAACGTGGTCTAATCATGGAACCACATCCAATATTGAATTCTGTGTTTGCATTTTGCAAATGTGGATTAAGATTGATAGATATCTGTTTATGCTAGAGGACCAAGGATATGGGACCAAGGCTGAGAAATGGAGTCAAGAATACAGATAACTGAATGGTGCAACAAGGATCTAAAAGACTTCCCACTGCTCCTACCCTTCAGTTAGCATTGCGTGCGGGCCCAAGACTGTCTTTTAAGCAAACTGGACTATTACATGAATGCTTACCAATGGCTACAAAACCATAATCTGAAACAATACATGACCAGATGTAGAGAAGTGGAAATTTGCACTATGGTACATTACCTGATCAGTAGGCTGCCGATCCCTCTGTGCTATAATATCTTTAATCACTTTGATAAAGAAGGCATTTGCCTTGGTCATGGATGTATGGGGCATCACAAGGCGAAATGGCATCATAATGAAGGGGAATATAACTGAAACAGAAGAAATGTCATCGTAAAGCATTTATCAGGGATTTCTTTCTCCACTCCTCCCCACCTCCACTTTACCACCTATGTACCACAACTCCCCTAGTCTAAAGTACCACTGGTGTTGGCAGTCCTAGGACTGAACCAAAAGCAAGCCCTTTCAAAGCAAATGTGAAGAAATAAAGATGAGGTAGAAATTCTAGTAGCTTTGTATATACCTACTTATACATGATGAGAACAAAAAGTTGTCATTAAATATCATTAGAAATTGTGAGCAGTTGTGGGCTGCAATGAGCTTTAATGAAAAGCTTTAATGGGACATCGAAACAAATTTTACAATGGATTTTTAAATCCACACTTTCTTGACGTTCAATTGCAGTTGGTGAACTTATGCTGACTTGCTCTCTGCACTCCAAAGCACACTTCTAGATGGAAGGAAGAGGAAGTGGTGGAAAGTAAAGAGGATAGTGTGAATGGGGGAGGGGTGTGGGGGCATGGTGAGGGAAGGGGAAGAGTCCACTCATGTTGATGTGGCAGTCAAGAAGTCATAACAATGCTTCTACTTCCTCAGGAGGCTGAGGAAATTTTGCATGTCCATAAAGACTCTTACCAATTTTTACAGATGCACATAGAAAGCATTCTGTCTGAATGTATCATGGCTTGGTATGGCAATTGCTCTGCTCAGGATGGTAGGAAACAGAGAGTGCAGCCCAATCCATCATGTAAGCCAACCTTCCACCTGTTGACTCCACCTAAACTTCTCACTGCCTCGGAAAGGCAGCCAACATAATCAAAGGCCCCTCCTACTTTGGTTATAACCTCTTCCAACTTCTACCGTCAGGTGGAATAAACACATGCACTAACGGTTTCAAGAACAGCTTCTTCCCTGCTGTTATTAGATTTTTGAATGGACCTCTCAAATTTCAAATCTAAGGTTGACTTCGCTCTTTGTGCACCTTCTCTGCAGCTGTAACATTGTAGTCCTCACTCTGTTCTACTACCTTAATGCATTTTGTATGGTATGATCTGCCTGTACTGCACGCAAAACAAAAATTTTCACTGCATCTAGATACATGTAGCAATAATAAATCAAATTAAATCAAAGAAGAGCAGGAACCACCAACCAGCCTTGGAACCGCCATTGTCAGGGCAGTTGCTGAAGCCTTTTATGTTTCAGAGCATAGTAATGATGCATTTCCAAAAAAAGGAAAATTTCAGTGAGGCCTGCCAGCTACAACAGAAGCTCGCTCATACAAGTGGCTTTTGAGGAGATTTTTCAGTAACTCCTAAATGCAAAATAGAAGTTTCAGAGGCTTTCCAAATATCTAAATGAAGCATGATGAGTTTTTCTCAGAAGCAATGCATAGGGCTGATGGGCCACAGTAACATCTAGGCCAGACTAGGTAAGGTTGGCCAGTTTTGTCTCCACATTAGTGAACTAGCTGGATTTTTATGACAATCCACCTGCTTTGTCGTCTTGGTTTGTAGAGATCATAGTTTTATTTCCAGGTTTTTCTCAAACTGTTCTCAAACTGCCATAGTGAGACAAAAATACAAATTCTCTGGATCATTCATCCAAACCTGCATTATTAGACCAGTAATATGGCTGGAGAAATTAAACATCAAAGAGGAACAATAGAAATGGTGAACACTTACTGTTCAGGAAAATAAGTGGTTTGAAGAAATTTACATTAAAGACCATCTTTGCATGCTTGACAAATGGATCATCTGGATTCCTCTGGGAGTCTATCTGTGTACCAAATGCGACACTGGCAATAACATCCATGGAAAAGCAGCCATAGTACCTGTTGGGAGGTAGAATAAATGTTAGTAATAGGGCTACCAACTACTCACATTTTGCACGAAGCTTTGAAAATAGATAGGACCCACAAAACCAACTTTTCAAAACAACTGCTGCAGGACCAGGTTATCCTCAAAATGGCTGATCTTATCCAGCACTCAAACATATAACAGGCTGTTTTAAACCTGGCAGTGGGTAATCAGAGAGGATTAATTATTGATCTCACAGTTCTCCAGGGAAGAGTGAACGTAATCTGTGAGAACTTCACATTCAGTTTGAGGGAGAGCAACCTGGATCTGAAACTAGTGCTGTAATGTCAAATGAAGACAGATGCAAATTATGAAGACAGAGTTAGCTAAAGTAAACCGTGAAAATAGATTAAAAGGTAAGCAGTCGATAAATAGCAGCAGGTAGTTATGCTATTTTATATCTCTTAAGTAACTCTCCAGTCAAGGAGAAGACAATGTCAAGAACTGTGTTCAGGCTTATTCTAAAAAAAAGTACTATTGTAATAAAAGTTCAACTGAACAATATCCTACATGACAATCATAAAGCAGCTTCTGACTTATAGTTCTATTAATTAAAGGCTAAGCTATATTCAGGTGCTCATATCTATTTGTTCACAGTTAAATTCTGATGTGTCTCTCAGTGTTCCTTCCAAAGAGTTCTAATTACTCCTACACTGTCATATTTATACCCAGTGATGTGCAGCTCTGTGACATCACAGCAAGATTGTTCCAGGTTTCTATTACCTTTACAAAACAAAAGGACAAAGGGATATAGAGGACATGGGAACATGAGGGAGCATTGTCAAAGACTTAGACATACCTGCCAAAATGTTACCAACTCCACAGCGGGCTTCCCCCAAAGTTACATGTTGGGGTTTCCCACAGACTCCCATATCCTCCTGAGACAATGAAAATAAGCACAGGAGATGAAATGTAAATTTCCCCTAGTCCTTTATTATGGTGACCCCACAACGTCATAGGACATATGTACACATTCTTGATCCAACAAATGTCCAATCAGGGGAAGGTAGGATGAGTTAGAGTGGTAGGTTATTTTGAAATTCCAGGTTATGACCTAATTTCATCCATTCCAGATTCAATTTATAGACAGGAGGGGATAATCTGATTCACTATATGCCTCTATCATAAAACACAAGATCTTACTACCCCCCTCTTCCTTACATTTTTAACCAGTCCTGCTACATGTACCCCCAAGTCTCTTTGCTCTGTCTTTCCCTAAAATTGCACCTTTTCTTTTATACTGCCTACGCTCATTCTTCTTGCAAAATGTAACACTTCTTACTTTTCTGCATTAAATTTTAACTGACACTTTTACAATCTACCATCCTGTCTCTATCTTCTTGAGACCTATCACTGTTCGCATCACAGTTCAGTATGCACACTTTGTGGTATCTCAAAACTTTGAAAATATGCCGTTCATGCAGAGAACTCTCTCTCTCACACACACACAAACTTATAGAAAAACAACGGTCCTAGTATCAACCTTGGGATAACCCAACGTACATTCTGCCTTTAGCCTGAAAAACAAACACTCACTGTTATTCTGTTTCCTGTGACCCAGGCAACTTTGTATCCATGTCCTCACTATCCCTTTTATTCCATGAGCTTTAACCTTACTGCCCAGTATGTTAAGCAGCACTTTGTCAAACACCTGTGGGAAGTCCGTTGAATCAACATCAAATGCACCACTCTCAGCGAACTCTCTGTTACCTCAACAAAATTTTCAGCAAGTTAGTTAAATATGATTTACATTTTAACAAATCCAGCCTGGTTTTCTTTAATTGACCCACATTTGTTCAAGTAACTTAATTTTGGTCTACTTTACCACTCTGAATGCTTCCTCACAACTGAAGTTAAGCTTAAAGACCTGGAATTCCTGACATTATCGTTACATCCTTTATGGACAAAGATGTAACATGTACAGTTCTTCTCCAGTCCTTTGGCACTACCCCGTATCTAAGCAGGATTGGAAGATTATGGCCAGTGCCCCTACAATTTCAACGCTTCCGTCAGCATCCTCTAAATGAATCTTTTCTAATCTTAGTAATTTGATCACTTTAAGCACAATTAGCCTTCCGAATAGCTCATCATCAATTTTTAGCTTATAGAAAGTACCTTTGCTTTCACTATGCATGTCTCCTTCTTTGGTGAAGACAGATGCAAAATGCTCATTTAGTACCTCAGTCTCTTTGCGCAAATCTTCTTTTGGATCTGTAAAGGCCACATCTTTTTGTTTTTGACTATTTGGAAACAAGTGAAGCCATATAAGTGATCCATATATGACAATGTTACTTTTTTGGCACAGTGGGCAAAATGTTACCTTTTTTTGATAAGTGCAGGAAGCATCAAAATTGGTGGAGTGATTTTCGTAACAAGGTTGAATGAGTTTCTCATTCTTTCTTATCAAACTCACGGCTTTAATTACCACTTGAGCCCTTGGGGTTCTATTTCCATCCCATCTTACCATGCACAGTTCATGGAGGAACTCACTGCTTAGCAGGGGTCCTCCATAAGACAGAATCCTTGGGGCTGAGCATCTGCAGGAGATCTGTCAGCAGGCACTTATTCTGGTCGAGACAAAAAGGTGCAGGGCTGGATGAACACAGCAGGCCAAGCAGCATCATAGGAGCAGAGAGGCTGACGTTTCGGGCCTAGACCCTTCATCAGAAAAGGGGGAGGGGAAGGGGGTTTTGAAATAAATAGGGAGAGAGTGGGAGGCGGATAGAAGAGGGATAGAGGAGAGGATAGGTGGAGAAGAAACAAACAGGTCGAAGAGGCGGGGATGGGGCCAGGAAAGGTGAGTGTAGGTAGGGAGTTAGGAAGGGGATAGGTCAGTCCAGGGAGGACGGACAGGTCAAGGGGGCGGGATGAGGTTGGTCGGTAGGAGATGGAGGTGCGGCTTGAGGTGGGAGGAGGGGATAGGTGGGAGGAAGAACAGGTTAGGGAGGCAGGGACGAGTTGGACTGGTTTTGGGATGCGGTGGGGGGAGGGGAGATTTTGAAACTTGTGAAATCCACATTGATACCATTGGGCTGCAGGGTTCCCAAGCGGAATATGAGTTGCTGTTCCTGCAACCTTCGGGTGGCATCGTTGTGGCACTGCAGGAGGCCCAGGATGGACATGTCGTCTGAGGAATGGGAGGGGGAGTTGAAATGGTTGGCGACTGGGAGGTGCAGTTGTTTGTTGCGAACCGAGCGTAGGTGTTCTGCAAAGCGGTCCCCGAGTCTCCGCTTGGTTTCCCCGATGTAGAGGAAGCCACACCGGGTACAGCGGATGCAGTATACCACATTGGCAGATGTGCAGGTGAACATCTGCTTGATGTGGAAAGTCTTCTTGGGGCCTGGGATGGGGGTGAGGGAGGAGGTATGGGGGCAGGTGTAGCACTTCCTGCGGTTGCAGGGAAAAGTGCCGGGTGTGGTGGAGCTGGAGGGGAGTGTGGAGCGGACAAGGGAGTCACGGAGAGAGTTGTCCCTCCGGAAAGCAGATAAAGGTGGGGAGGGAAAGATGTCTTTGGTGGTGGGGTCGGATTGCAGATGGCGGAAGTGTCGGAGGATGATGCGTTGGATCCGGAGGTTGGTGGGGTGGTACGTGAGGACGAGGGGGATTCTTTTTTGGTTTTTATTGCGTGGACGGGGTGTGAGGGATGAGGTGCGGGAGATGAAGGATGGAGTGGGTGATAAGTTGTTGGTGCATACTGTGTCAGGAAGTTTTAGCAAAAATAAACCTTCCTAGAGTTTGATTGGTAAAGATATTGTTTGATCTGTTTCTAAGCCATAAAGAAAAGTTTGCAAGTTCCTGTTCCAAAATTGTCAGAGACTCGGGAGCAGTTCACTTACCTACCTCTGTGTCAGGCACAGAGGTTTGACTTGAGAAAGAGTGTAGAAAAATTATCTTAAAAAGGGTCTGTGGTAATGGGAGCTACAATGAACTTGTGCGAATGTCTGATTTATAATTTATTTTCTGTTGTATCTACATTGTTGGTGCACATCTGTAAGCATGGATGACTGAAGTGATTTTTAAATAAAACCTGCACATTCTGGGCCATTCTCAAGAAATTGCTCCTTTTCTATGTTTCAGTTACTATTTTGGCCGTCGGGCAACTGTTGTAATTGCTGAGCCTGAAATGCTGAAACAGATTCTGGTAAAGGACTTCAGCAACTTTGTCAACAGAATGGTAAGTGGTTTTGAATCCATCTACATCCATATTGTAAACTGACAGGTTGTTTGTGTTTGTAGTATTGTTCAGAATTTAAAACCTGCTTTGGATAGGAGATTGTGATTCATTCCTGTACGTGCATTGGGCAGGTAATATCAGAAAGCTCTCTCTGGGGCATGTTTAATAAGTTGGAATATAGCATCACCACTGGGCAGCTTGTCACTGTATTCGTGGTGCAAGCTGACTGCAGTTCTTGTTTAATTAGCTGAGTAAGTGTAGCTGTAGCACTGTTTACTTGATAGCCTAGAGGATGCAGATCTAACTGAAATTAAATGATTTCTTTCACAGCTTGTAAAGCACTTGAATGTTCCCAAATGTATTTACCATGGCTTCTTTGTCTTTTTGAATTGATCTGCAGAATGAATTTTAGAAAGGGATGCAAATGGTCTTTGCTCATTGCACAAAACAGGGTGCAAGAATATTTGATTTCTTTCTCAATCTTTTCCATTGATTTCCAATTTCAGATGTCTTCACCATTTTTCGCTGTTGCCAATGACAGGTTTCACCGCCAAAATTCCAAAGGGGAACTTTCAATTGAAGAACATGAGCTTAGATTAAGATGGACTAGTCATTTCAATAAATTATGTACCACAGGAATTTTATTGTTACGTAGGGATGCAGGGCTCTGACAGGATTCTTTCTGAGGAAAGTCTGAATCATACCCAATATGATTTCATCCAGACATTGCCATCATAGCGAATGGGCACTGCAAGGCATGATTATTATAAGGGAAATCAAAGGCCACAAAAGGAATTTAACTTGCGGTCACTGGTTTTAAAGCCAGAAAATGGGGAAAATTAGAAGCCTAACCAGACACATCTAATGGCAAGTTAGGGGACTACTGAGGCTGCAGAAGAGGTTGGAGATTCACTATTTAACACCGCAATAAAGGCAGGAAGAATTCATTAAGCTGCAGACAGTTGAACTCATCCAGGAAAAGAACTGTATAGCAACAGAAATTTTTAGTAGCACCACAGACAGCATGAATCACCTGTGGAAATCCATTAAAGGCATGGGATTTGTCTTATGGAGCTGTGAAGCACAGTAGCAGTTATGAGAATAGGAATTATCTTAAGAACTGCAGGCAGTAGGACTCAGGTATTACAGCCTTTAAGGAAATGAGACAATTATGTCAAAGCCAAAGTTAGTAGGATTCTTGTTAAAAGGCGGAGATTGCCCACAATATGCACAAAAGGCAAGATCTATTTGTTTTACGCTCAGAAGGCGTGAGACCTTAGAGGATCAGCCCAGACCCCTGGATGACTGGTCCAGTGACATATCACTATGATTCCCAAGCTTCCTGTCACTCATGCACATAAATGAACTGTGGAAGAAATAAGGACAAAGACAAGGAATCAGCTCTTCCTGCTTTGGATCTTTGTGTAAAGTTAAAGTCTAGATGCGAAATTAATCATTTTGACCCTTGCACCCTATTTCTCTGGGACCCCTAATTCTCCCAGTCTTGCCTTCAATTGCAATGTCCATGTTGCTTGTACTTTTGCATCTACAGCCCAAAAGGTACATTATTCTGAACCTTCACCTTGATTAAGAATGTCCTACGAGTTTCTCGCTGCCTCCAAAATATGTCTACTTCCAGAACATTTGGCACCGTGACGTGCCACAATATAGGTATTTCAGTGGTTTAACTCTTCACCATGATTTTTCCATCTAGCAATAGCTTGCAAAACACCATGTTCCTGAGATATTGAAACAGGTGCAGTTTGAGTCTGCTCCGCCATTCAATATGGTCATGGCTGATCATCCAACTCAGGACCATATTCCTGTTTTCTCTCCACATCCTTTGTTTCCTTTAGCCCTGAGAACTATATCTAACTCCTTCTTAAAGACATCCAACTTTTTGGCCTCAGCTACTCTCTGTGACAGCTGATGACTGCCTGAAGGAAGAAACTTTTCCTCATCTCAATCCTAAATGGCTGACCCCGTATCCTTAGACTGCGACCCCTTGTGTCGGATTCCCCAGTCATAGGGATCATCCTTCATGCATTTACCCTGCCTGGTCCTATTAGAATTTTACTAGTTTCTCTGAGATCCTTCTCATTCTCCTAACTGATCCAGTCTGTCTTCATATGTCAGTCCTGCCATTCCAGGAATCAGTCTGGTAAACCTTCCTTGCACTCCCTCCATAGCTACTACAACCTCTGTCAGATAAGGAGACCAAAACTGCAGACAATACTAAGGCGCAATACAATTGCAGTAAGATGTCCTTACTCCTGTATTCAAATCCTCTCACAATGAAGGTCAACATACCCTTGTCCTTCTTCACTGCCTGCTGCATATACATACTTATAAAAAGCCAATGTAATGTAACCATGAAGCTGTTAGATTGTTGTAAAAAATCAAACTTGTTCGCTGATTTTTTTTTTTGGGAAAGGAGTGTCTTTACTTGGTTTGGTCTTTATGATTCTAACCCCACACCAGAGTGGATGACTCCTAACTTCTTTCTGATGTGGGTGAATGAGAACTACAGTTGGACCAGTACACAACTCAACATTTCAAGAAGGGCTAGTCATGCTTTCTCAGGTTGTTGACACACCTATGCCCGAAGAACATGTATAATATGTATAATAATTTTAAAACCCCGTCCTGTTACTATTAGCTTTGTGGTAAAATTTAACTTAACCTCTTTGGTAGATTCATTTGAACAGACATAGAATATATGTTTCTTCAGGCTTTTAAGGTCAGATAGATTTTGGAACAGAGAGGAAACTGATCTGAAAGTCAACTCCCTTCCAAATGGAATGTGTTAGGGAGCTTTTACTGAAATTCCAATCATTTATTAGCCAATATTCTCTGCACTCTAAACCATCAACTTCTGAATTGTAAGTAAACACAATCTGCAATACCGCAATTATGCACTGTCACACTCTCTCTTGTGTGCAGTGCACCTTGAATTAAATAAAGACTGTACGTGGCTAGCATTGGTTTCAAGTGCTGTCCAAACATTCATTTCCAGTGAAGCAGGAGTATTGAAGTGAGTTAGTGGGCAGTACCCTCACTCCTGTAATCTGGTTTTGAGTACAAGTGTACACGCGCAAATACCACATGAATCAGGATGACACTCGGGTATAAGGCCCACCCTAGTTAAGCAGCCAGTCAACACTGATTTCTTGGGGCTGGGCAACTGACAGCTTTGGAATTAAACCCTACCAGGAGCTCACACTTTCAAGAGAGATGCAAATTGTAAAAATAAGTAGTTTACAAGCAATGCTGTATTTTTGCTGCTGCTTTTAAAAATGGCTCCAATAATCCTGAGACACTTAGTTGACAATAAATTATTCTGTTTTTTCAGAAAGTATCTCTTATCAGCCAGCCACTGAGTGACAGCCTTTTGTTCCTACAAGATGGAGATTGGAAAAATGTCCGCAGTATCTTGACACCAACTTTCAGCAGTGCAAAGATGAAAGAGGTAAGACCCAGTCAGTGCTTTAGAAATGAAAGTCTTTCCATTAACACATTTATTTTTAGAAATCCATCATTAACTCATCCTACTTCAATTTTTTTCCCAGTTTTTGTTTTTGGTCTGAAGTTGGGTGATCATTAAGATGACATGTTAATGCAAGAAATTTGAATGTTTCTCTTTTCAGGGAGTATGGTAGCATTGTGACAATGCAACCTGATGACATGGACTAATAGAACCTAGAACATAGAACAGTACAGCACAGGAGGTTGTGTCGAACATGATGCTAAATTAAACTAGTCCCTTCTGACTGTTCTTGGTCCATATTCCTCCATTCCTTGCATATTCATGTGCTTCTCTAAAAGGTCATTAAACGCCTCTAACGTATCTGCCGCCATCACCACCCCTGGCAGCACTTTACAGACTGCTCCCATTCTCTGTGTTAAAAAACTTGCCCCTTACATCTCCTTTGAACTTTCCCCCTCTCACCTTAAAAGCATGCACCCTAGTATTGGACATTTCTTTTCTGGGAAAAAAAGTTCTGAGCATCAACGCTATCCATGCGTCTCATAATTTTTCGACTTCTATCAAGTCTCCCCTGAACCTCTGCCATGCCAAAGAAAACAACCAAAGTTTTTCTAGCCTTTCCTTATAGCTCATACCCTCTAATCCAGGCAGCATCCTGGTAAACCTCTTTTTCACCATCTCCAAAGCCTCCATGTCCTTCCTGTAATATTACATGTGGCAACCAGAATTGAATGCAATACTCTTAAGTGTGGCCGAACTAAAGACATGTAAACCTGCAACATGACGTCCTGACTCTTGTATTCAATTTCCCGACTAATAAAGTCATGTATGCTATATGCCTTCTTTACCACCCTGTCTACTTGCGTGGCCACTTTCAGGGAGCTGTGGACTTGAACCCTAAAATCCCTCTGCACATCAGTGCTGTTCAGGGTCCTGCCATTAACTGTATACTTTTCCTTAACATTTGATCTCCCAAAGTGCAGCATTTTACACATACCCAGATTAAACTCCATCTGCCATTTCTCCGTCCATATCTGCAACTGATCTGTCTCCTGCTGTATGCTTTGACAACCTTCTACACTATCCACAACTTCCCTGATCTAGTTCAGAGAATCTTGCTGAATCCTGTCTTGGTAGTTTGAAAATTTTAATTCACTCAAAAAGAAATCAGGAAATAGAAAACTGCTATCAGTAATTGTCACCGTCAAACTGTTGGATTAATAATATTAACAATAAGATTTATTAACATTGTCACAAGTGTGATCCCTCACTGGTTGTAAACAAAAAATTTATATAAGTACAAATGTAGTTTTCTTTTACTTTCCAAATGTTTCAATTTAACAGCTCTGTTTTATGGCTTAATAAAATAAAACATGTTCGTTTATAGCACAACTATTACTGAAAGTTACTTAAATAAAATGCGTTAAATTTATTAGCTAAAATATGGATGTGAAAAGGAAGTGAGGATAAAAGTTAAAAGTCCTGGCTTGCTTGATGATTCTCTTTCTGAAATGTAGGGGATTGTAACTTGAAACCATAGTCAGTAAATGTGATTGTTTCTGTTCTTGAGTGGTTGGAGTTTTCTTCCCCACAGTCACTCTGCACATATAAGAGGACATAGGATAGTGCAGAGGCTCCTTTGTTTCACATTTGTAGCATTGTGACCTGTGGCTCATGGTAACCCCTAGTTCAGTACAACAGTCTTCTTGCTGCTTGTTTTGTCTCACTCACTCACCCTGTTGAGAAGCAGTTGCTGTTTCGAGATGTTCAGATGGTCTTCTTCTAAATGTGTCCTCAGCCAGCTTGTAATGCAATCAAACAAAATATCTAAGAATGTTAACCTTGCTGAATTATTATTCCACAAAACAAAGTAAATTATGCTGGAATTCTTTGTGATCTCCCTCCTGCCTCCGGACTATTATCAGAAGCTTTGAATTTTCACACCTTGAAGGGACGGTCCTGGAATCTTTGACATATTTAAAAATATTTTGCAATTGGCTCATAAGATAGCTTAGTCTAATTGTCTGCAGTTGAATCCACGAGAGAATTCATGTAGCGTTTGGGAGCCATTTTGTATGACTCCTTAAAATTCAGTTTTAAAAACAAAGTAACTTGCTATACAAAATATATAATAGAACATATTTTAAGGAAGGAAACCTATTGATTTTATCCAAATTGGCTTTTACGTGACTTGAATCCGACAGCAACATGGTTAAATCTTAATACCCAAAGTAAGCCATAGTTAATAGGGGATATATAATAATTGATGGTCTTGTCAGGAACACACAGATCTTAACAATGAATTAAACAAATCAGTGTCTGCATCAAATGCTTCTACGTCTGGTAGAGCACAGTTAGTTTGCAGAGCAAAGGTTCATTTAAATCCCAACAACCTCAGTCTCAGAAGTCCATCCCTTTTTCAGTTTGGAGAGAGATTACTAATTACTGCTTTGAACACACTGTTGTCTTCCTAAACAATCTTAAAAGTACATTGAAACATAACTGAATTAGATTGCAAACAAATAATGCCAATATTGTTTCAAGGCTACATACAAAGTTCAGCAATTGCTGCTGTTTAGGCATCCACTTTGCATACTTCAAAATATTACAGACGTCATTGAGTTGAGTAGCCAGTTAATATAATAGTGTGACAAGACAGCGCTGGTAACTTCGTCAGTTGGGAAGGTGTGATGGCTAATCTTCCAACTTCTTGCATGCTCTCAAATTTACCAAATTAACCTTCGCCCATAACAAAGCCATATCGAAATTTAAGGCGGACCTATTAGCTAATCACATGGTGTTCAGATGGTTCTCCACTACATGGCTATCCTAATCTATCTTTTATCACAATCAAACAAAATGACTGCAAATGTAAACATTGATGAATTTATTCTTCCAAAAAACAAGGTCGGTTATGCTGGAATTTCTTGTGATGCCCTTCCTGTCTTTTGAATACTACAAAAGCCTTGCATCTTCACACCATGAGGCTTTGATCACAATAAAGTGGAAGTTACCCTGCCAAGATGGAAAGATGCTAAAGGTGTAAGTGGCATAACCACAAATCTATCTGTTGAAAGTATTTTTGAAGCAATTTGTAACAATGACAGTGAAGTAATTATTTGTCAGTTCATTTGAATAAATAAATAATTTTTGTTTCCAGGCTTAGGTGCATATTGCTCCCTTCAGGCATATAAATCTGTAAGTAGCATGGAGGAACTATACCTTTCCTTCTGTGTAGTACCTGAACTACTACATCGAAATCGATGAATAATCTGAATTTACAGCAAAAAAATGGTTTATTTTAGCAAAAACACACAGACTGTACTGACAAGGCTCTGTACATTGGATCAAATTAAGCAAAGGATATTTGCTTAGAACTTGCCTCCAAACCAAAGTAGTGTATGTCCTCCAAAATAGTTTTGCTGTTTTGTTTTGACTGGTTTATTTTCAGGCTATTTTTAAGTTCAGGATAAAGAGTTCAATTTGCAGGCACCGTGGTCCTTACAATCTAAAAAGTAGGGAGGAGCCACTTACCACTTCCATTTTTGTATGAATCACAGGGGTGGGAGGGAGGATAGTCATGAAAACTCATTGCCACTTAAGGAATAAACCATCATACATAACCAGAAAATCTCAGGTTCCACTCCAGTTTGGGCCTGGTTAGTTAGTACCACCCTGGACACCATAATGGTAACAGTGGCTTGAAATATGACTCCTCTTGATTGTTATCTATTGACTCTTGCTGCATAGGTATGGTTGATGGTTGAGGGCAGATAGTCCAGATGTTCTCCATTATTAACTAGACCACAAACTTGAGGTCGGAGTTGAAGAATTACAACTTTGATGGATACTGGAGGGTTTTTAACACTTGGAAAACCATGCCCCGGCAAAATATTTGATTATCTGGTTTTTCTGATAGCTGTTATTTTTCACACTACCATCGACCAGATTATTTTGAACTTTGAAGGAAAGGGGAAGTCTTAGATTTCTTTAGTATTTTTAGGATCGCAGGACATCTAAAGCACTTCGCAAGGAATTGTGTACTTTTGAAGAGTAGTCATTGTTGTAAATAGGGAAAGACAGCAGCCTATTTTCACACAGCAATGTGTCAAAAACAACATTGAGATGGTAACAGGATAATCTGATTTCTGTCAGTTGAGAGATTAATTTTCTCTAGGCTATTGGGACAATTTCCCTACACTTGTTCAAAAATAGTATAACACTCCTTCTCCACCCTGAAACAAGCAGAAATTGCTGGCAAAACTCAGCAGATCTGGCAACATTAGTGAAGAGAAAGCAGAGTTAATGTTTTGAGTCCGGTGACTCTTCATCAGAACTGATAGCAGCTAGGAAAAAGGTGGTATTTATGCTGAAAATGAAGTGGGGCGTGGGGAGGTTAAGGGGAAAGCGAGAGGGGAAGGGCTAGGTAGAGTTGGAGCCCAGAGAGAGAGAGAGTCTTGAAAGGGGTAGGTAAATGAGGGGATACTTTGGATTGTGCTGGCTTATCAACTCAAACTCTTAAGAGTTAAGAGAACCTCAATCAGAAAACCCAGATATCGAAATTCTGAAGAGAAAAGGACAATACTGGGAGAGGACAGTTACCTGGATTTCTCAAAAAACATGCATTTTTTCAAACTGGTGTTTAATATACTAAGCCTATCATTTATAGTAACAGCATATTTCACACTTGCTGTTCAGCCAGATGCCTTACAACATAGCTTTTCACAGCATGACTGCGCTTACTTTATTATTCACTGAACTCGCCTCGTTGTATTTCACTGATCCTAGAGTAATTTTTTTTTTCAAACTGTCATTTGATAAATATCTGCCTTTGCATGCAACTGCAGTGAAGGTTACTGATTTCATTTACATGTCTTGGCAGCAGTGATAGGACAATGGAGCTATCATCTTTTTTGTCATAATGTGGGGAAAAGAAATTCCATGTCAAAATCTGCCTGCCATTTAATGCTCGCCAGCTATAA